ACATTTTCAATTATGAAAATAATCAAGACAAAGCTCCAAAACAAGATGGAAGATAATTTCTTGAATGATTGTCCAACTGTATATATATAAAAGAAAGTTGCTGAAAATTTAGCAGTGATTCAATCATAGATGAATTTAACTCTGTGAAAGAGCGTAGAGCTCAATTTACTTATAAGAAAAGATGTTGAAATTTGCATAGGTGATATATTGGAGAGCATCTTCTCATAATGTATAAATTAAATGGTTTGTAATGTTATAAGATATTTAATCAAAGATTATCTTTTTTGTTAAGTTTTATTATGACTGTACCGCATATTTATGAATAGATATACCTTTATAATTAAATTTAATATTTGATATTTTTAGATGTCATATATTTAAATAGAAGAAAATTATTTCGAACATAATATATTAAGATAATTTTATTAGGAAAAAATTTTGCCCCCATCCAAAAAAACCCTGGCTCCATCACTGATTATAGGCAACCTGTGTTGATAGTTTGGTACCCTGTAACTAGTGGTGTGAATGAAGCTTCACAGGTTGTGCATGTATTTATAGTTACAATAAGGGATGAAGAGGGAAAAAAGTTGATGGTGACTTCATTCAAATTAAATTTGTGAATATCTTTTGAAATAAAAAAGTGTGTAGCGCTTTCAGGAAACATTATAATTTCAGCTTGTCAAGGGAGAAGGGGGGAAAATGACAACAAAACAGAAAGAGAGAAAAGTCTTTTGACTCATGATCTGAAAGGGTTCAAGGACGGCAACCATTCACATAAACTAACTATTAAGTGTTAAAATCTCAAGGCTAAGTAACGTAGTTAAGTGACGCCTGCCTAGTGCATTACAGGAAGCACCATGCTTCCTTTATTTTAAGAAATTTAGAGAGCGCGGTATCGCACTTATTTGGTCCGGAGATTCACCTCCTACCTGTTGACTTATTGGCTCAATAGCCACAATTGTCAATTGTCAATTGTGCAAAGTTACAATTGTTGATAATTGTGCACAAATTCTACATCCCACATCGTTAGTTTTGTTAGAAATTCTCTCATTTGTAAATTATAAATAGAAGAATCATTTGATGGGATAAAATATACCAAGTAAGAGAATTATAACTTGCTTCCGTCTCTCTCTTTATGATATTTCTTCTAGTGAAATATTAAGTTGTCAATGATGTTTGAGAACGTATGCAAATTAGCTGAATCTCGTTAAATTCTGGTAATCTATTTTATTATCTATTTAGTTGCTATATTTGTAGGTATATTTGTAGTGAGTTATTGTGCAATTAACTGTATATATAGGTGATTCTATCTAGAAAATTGGTAATTAAGCAGGCCAGTGTGCCTCACCAAATATTTCTTGGGAATTACCATTTTGCAATTTTAGGTACAATAATTTACTCATTATTCCTTAATTTGGTAGAGCTTCCTCTTTGTAATATTTCTTCTAGTGAAATATTAAGTTGTCAGTGGTGTCCGAGGATGTAAGCAAATTAGCCGAACTTCGTTAAATTTTGGTGATCTATTTTATTGTCTATTTAGTAGTTATATTTGTAGGTATATTTTATTCTATCAAAGGATCCTTCTATTTATAGTTTACAAATGAGAGAATTCCAACAAAACTAACGATGTGGGATGTAGAGTTTTGCACGATTGTCAATAATTGTAGAGTTACATAATTGACAATTGTGGTTATTGAGCTAATAAGTCAACAAATCTCCACCTTGGCAAAATCTATACATCTTCAATGCTTTACTCTTCCCCCAACATTCGGTGTGTTTTCAAATGCGTTGTCAAGTGCCAATCTTCAAGTTGTGCACAACAAATATCAAATTCCAACATTGTTTGAATTTAATAAATGTTGTGCACAACTTGAAGATTGACACTTAACAGCGCATTTGAATACACCATCGAATGTTTGGAGAAGAGTGAGGCATTGAAGATGTAGAGATTTCGCCAAGGTGAAGATTTGTTGATTTATTGGCTCAATAGCCACAATTATCAATTGTACAAAGTTACAATTGTTGACAATCGTGCACAAACTCTACATCCCATAGCGTTAGTTTTGTTAGAAATTTTCTCATTTGTGAACTATAAATAGAAGAATCCTTTGATAGGATAAAATATACCAAGCAAGAGAATTATAACTTGTTTCCTTCTCTCTCTTTGTAATATTTCTTCTAGTGAAATATTAAGTTGTCATTGGTATTCGAGAATGTAGGCAAATTAGCCGAATCTTGTTAAATTCTGGTGATCTATTTTATTGTCTATTTAGTAGCTATATTTGTAGGTATATTTGTAGTGAGTTATTATGCAATTAATTGCATATATAGATGATTCTGTTTAGAAAATTGGTACTTAAACAGGGCAGTGTGTCTTACCAAATACTTCCTGAGAATTACCATTTTGCAATTTTAGATACAATAATTTACTCGTTATACCTTAATTTGATAGAGCATCCGCAATACAACCTTCAGACAAGCTCCAGTTGAACTCCCTCTCCCTCATAAGACGAGCAGTATAGATTGTTGCATCGTTGAGAAAAAGGGAAAGAAAAAATGACGTAATTTAGAGTTGGTCCATCTCCTGGCATATAACGTAGCTGCCTATGGTGTTATATGCTGTTGATGTTGTATTATCTGTACTCACACAGATACATAGAAAACTAACATACTTGTAATAGTCCACAAGAATGAACCTGCGAAGATGCTTGTCTAGTACTAGTGAGCACTTCAGCAGTTAGCAGAGGCGGGTCTAGACTGCTTCCACCGGCTCAAGGATGTTAAAACTGAAAAAGGGAGCTGTGGCAGATTATATGTAAACTAACATATAATTAGGGTAAACTCACATTTTGTAAAGCTTAGTTTTCAAGAGATTTAATGTTGGGGTCTCAACCTTGATCATTAGGTCAATGTCTCATCCCAAATAAGTATGAATTAATTAAGGTTATAATTTGCAAAAATTGGAGATAAAGACTACAAGAAATTTTGGCTTTTAATAGCACTTAGAATTGCCAATTGATGTGTAAACTTCAATAGCACTTTTTGACGTAATGACATTTTTCCTGTTCGGGATACAGATGTCAGTCAGGATCTAGTGGCACTTGAGGAATGCAAACGAAGGGGAAATGTGGTAATATTTGCAAATGCTGTGGAGCTATTAGCTTGTGAGTCAATATTTATGAGAATTTTGAGTAGCGCTTCTTTACTTCCTAGTTTGATTTCCATTGTTGCAGAGTTTTCTCACACTATCAATTGCCACTAAAAATCATTAAAGAAAATCTTAGATACCTGTTCTTTCCTTTCATACCTATTTATCAACTGCCGAGGGTGAAAGTAATTAAGCACTAAAATAGCAGATCTTCTTACTGATTGACATATCAAGGCATAATGTAAGACCGCTGTGAAGCACTAGATTTCTTACTTTATTATTTTTTTTTTTAGGTAAAACGAATATTTATTCAATAGGGCTTGAATGTACACAAGAAGAGCACAGAGAAAGAGCCATCTATATAAAATAGTATACTACTACTTCAGCTAAACTCTTAAATTACTTCCATCAACTTTGAAGAAAAATACTAGCAGAAAATCCCAACTAAAGCTAAGCAACCAGCTGTCGCCTGTACAAATTTGGAGCATATAAATCCACATAATGCAAGAAACCAACAGCTTTCCACCAAGACTAACTGTCTATAGAGCAGATGTTTTGGAGAGATTTCAAGTCATGATGGCTTGACGATGATCCAGAAAAACCATGATATATATCACCTCTCTATGGGGAACGGTCCCAACTAAGGTAGTAATGAACATGATGAACAAGGCAGTGAAAATCCTACTCATGTGATCGGCATAAGCCCCAGAAAATGAGGTTTGTATTCAAAAGACTGAATTTTTTGCGGTTGACTATAACCTAGTTGTATTGGTTGTCGGTACCTTCAGCCAGTGGTACGAAGACTAAGCCCCACGGATTATGAAGAAAAAAAGGAGGGTAAGAATGATGGGAGAAGAGAGATGATCTGATGATGACTTCTTCCAAATCAAAATATCGTTTGCATGCGCATTATTATTTATGAACAAGCATGTAAAACACTATCAGGAAACATGATGATTTGCCTTCGAGGAAAGGGTGGGGTGGAAAAGAGAGAAATACTGGTGTCGTAACTCGTAACCTGATAGGGTGCAAAGGGCACCAGGAATTTATGCGTCTCATATGGAAGTCTCTCGATTAATGTTGTTCTTGTAGCTAGACTATGCAACTCCCTTTCATGATCTGAAACCAAACGAACGGAATCTAAATGTGGCATCAAACTATTGAGTGGTCTTCTTAGTTTTCGCCTTCACGCACTACGCAGGCATGCTTCCAGTATCAGTGTGAATTTACAAGCTTAACTTTAATTTTTCAATCTTTTACAATTTCGAAATTATAAAAAGGTGAATTAAGAAATTGCAGCTTTCATAACCAGCTGCTGCTGATCTAAGTTTCCTTCGCAAACATCTTTGACAACGATCTCAAATTCACTTGAATTTCGTAGTTAGTTTCGGTAATCACGTGGACAGGAAAATAGTACGAATAATTAATTGACTTGTTTCGATTGATTCCTTTGATCCAATTCAACCCCACATATAAGTTTAGCAGTAAATTGTGTTGCCATCATAAACTACTAAGGCTTTGTCAAAGTTCAGACTGTTAGCTCCAAATTGGAAGAAAAAGAAACCTCGAAGGATAATTTTCTAATACCACTTATAATAAAAGTTCTAAAAAACATGATGACATGAAGATGTAAAATAATTAAGTAGAATTCGCTAAATCAACTACAAGAAAGAATAGAACCTCTATAATTCCATTTCTTGTACAAAATTTTGTATTCACAGATGTCTTTCACCTTACACGTGTCTGAATTAAAATACAAAACCCAAAAAAGAAAAAAAAAAAAAAGCAGGAACTTTGGACTCAGAAAAACATAACCCCAAAAAAAAAAAAAGATAGGGGGGAGTTTCTATACTCAGGGATTGGGGTTATGAGATTGAGAGGCTCGATGTCTTGACACATATCGGTTAAAAAAATCTAGAGCATTGGTAGTAACCTGTGCCACGTTCAAGACCTTTGCTCTAATGGTAGATTTCACTTTACTTCCGATTGCATGCCCTGAGATCCCATCCATGCACGTTAGTGCTTCTGTGACTGCAGTGCTCATCCAGCTATTAACGTTGCTTTGATGCCAAAAGAAATCAGTTTCAGTAGCTATAGACATTCTTCCCAACTCCTTAACCGAATTCGTGAGCTGATCCACACCATCATTGATTTGCTCTAGGCAATCATGCACGGCTTGGTAATCTTTGGTCTTCTTTAGCCTCAAATCTTGAGCAACTTTGGTTATATAAGCTCTTGCATATCTTGCCCTCACCAAGCTCACCTTCAATGCAACTTGGGCTAATTGCTCTGGTGTTTGTGTAGTGGAATGCGCAAAAATTGAAAGGCAATGAACGCATAGCTGGAAATATTGGGTGCCTCGGCATTCTTGCTCGATGAAAGCCCTGAAACCAGAGCCTCGATTTGAAGTCAGCTCGATTGCAGCTGCAATGGAGATAGCAGAGAGGAGAAGAAGGAAAGAGAAGCTAATTTTTGCCATGTTTTTAAAAAAAAAAAAAAAAAATCCAGCACGATTTGATTCGATGGTTTTCGTGATGGGAAAATGTGAGAAGACTTGAGAATTTATATAGAAGTCTCACAAGTCATCCTCGTGTAGTCATAGCTTAAAGTTTACTACACTATTTTCTTTACGTTTGGGGTTTTAAATATCCGGTCCTTGCACATGCGCGAGGAGCTTCCAGGAAGCTGATGAGAATAGGGCTCCAGCAGCAGCAGAAACCATGATTTAAGTACAAGTACACTGGTAACTAAGCAATCTGATCTGTTTGAAATTGATGCTTATCTTGATCGAATGGACCAAATAGGTCATGCCTGGCAAGATTGTCGTTAGGATTCACGTGCACATCCATGCATGTCCTAGCGTTAGAATAGGCATTTATACTCTAAGTTCACCTAGCTAGAAAATTTTTTTAAAGTTTTATCGAAAAAATTTTAATCGGTACGTACTTATGTATGTGTGTATGTATACACAAGATAAATGCAATACTAATACTCCCTCCGTCCCACTTTGATAGTCCTGTTTTTTTTTTCACACAGTTTAAGAAAAAGCAGTTAACTTTGTTGGAAAAGTAAATTTAGATTGCTATTTTCCTAAAATAACCTCACATTAAATATGATACAACTTTATGGGAACTTGAATTGATGGTAAAAAAAGAATCAACTCTCATTAAATGGAGTAGGTTTATAGTAACAACTACTCACATTGAATAAGGGTATTTTAGAAAAATTAAAATACAACTACATTTTTCAATTGGAAAGTGGACTATAATTTGGAACAGATGAAAAAGGAATACAGGACTATCAAAGTGGGACGGAGGGAATATAAGGGATGAAAAAATTCATTTAAGATAAAAGAATCAAAAGTTACATGGTAGTTTATTGGAGGAAAGGAGTGGAATTAAAAAAATGAAGAAAGGAGATGCGATTCAAATCCAAAATCTCTAAATTCTGAGATCTCAAATGTTCAATTAATTCCTGCATTTATTTTGTCTGTACTCAATTTAACATTAATTGTGACTCAACAGCTGTAGTGCATATCCGTTGCTGTAGATGTCATTGAAATTAATTAATTAATTCTCCCAGTGATCTTAAAACGATGGCGTTAGCTATAGATTATATTATTGTTTGAACGCCTATGGTTTGGTTTGACCAAGAATGAATGCTAAGCAGCGCCATCGATGCCTGCGGCAAGTTGTCGGCGCCAGGAATATCACAGGAAGAGAGCTTTACTTGATAAACATCTTGCTGGCTTTGGTGTGATTATTTGGCCAGTGGCTTCAGCTTGCAGCTGCCAATCATTTTAAATCAAGTCCCTTAACTGGCCCTTGAGCAATAGAAGATATTATTGTTAGCGTAAAGTTTCAAGTTCTCAATCCCAAGAAATCCCAATAATCTTTGTTCCTGACTTAATTTTCCCCTTGTGGTACATTTTCTTTTGTACCATAAACTCATTCTAACTGACGTTCAAAATAAACTCATAGCTTACATATAACAGTAAATTTGCGACTCTCTTATTCTAATATGACTGCCATATAAGTTCAAAGAACGATTTGCTCAGAAAAATCAAACCAAAAAAAGGGTTCAAGGTAGGATTAATTTAAGGATAATATGTTCACTCAAATTTTAGTGCCCTACATAACTTTGCTTCCAATTCTTTTCGTGAATTGTCAGCTGTTAAAAAAGAGCTTTCATGCTTGATTTGGATGTAATCAAAGGGAGTTTTTTCAACCCGTCCAAATTAGAGGTTTTATAATTAATGACCCTCTTTTGTAGCATGTGCTCAAAACTGTGAGCAGCACACACCATGGTCCATGCATAGCGCATCTTGCACTAGGTCAATAATTTCTTGTAGCCTAAAAATCGAAATAAGAAACTTTTGCAATTCTGTTCTTCTAGAGAGTTTGACAGAGGACGTTCGCTTCTGACTCTTGATTGGCAACAAGATCCCTCCCAACAAGACAATTCATCAATTTTCTTCACCCTTTTTTCAGAAATATCTGGGGAAACAGATCCCATGCTTTAAAATCATAGTTTAGGTGCACACGGTGGGTCTCATGCAGTTACACCAGAGAGATTAATCGTACCAATTCTGAAACAATATACAGCTGAATAATTTGATGAGGCTCTTCTCAGAAGGCTCAATTGGATCAAATTTCACAGGAATCACCCACGCATGCAGTGAGACGGAGTATATTAACAGCATAGCTGTTGCAGTAGTTTTAAAAGATTTAAGGAACTATCGACATAGCATGCATCAAACTCGAGCATTGAAAAATAATCAGTTTACCTATTCATGTGGTAGCAATTCTTCAACAGGAAAAGAACATTCAGAGCATGGGAATAGGATTGTGTCCGTATAACCTCACTAGCTAAGAATGCTAATTCTTCATGTCATGGCAAAGTTTACCTTGTCAGCTACTTCAAGTTGATAAGCTCTCTAAAGTCTAAAACATCTGAGAAGGAAAATGCATGCTCACGAATTTTCTGCATAATACTACCAGTTAGGAATGGAAACTCCACATCAAGCACAAAACTAACTGCCAACGCTCAGAAGGTAAATAGCCTCTCTCTTGTTGTGCGTGTGTGTGAAAAAGAGTCGCCGTCAAATCAGAAAATGGCAGAAGACCAAAATACACCTCATATCAATATAGTAACTTCAATCACATATCATATCAACTTAGCAAATGCAGATAATACAACAGAAACATTTTACCAAATACAGAAATAACACAGAAATTAACACAGCACATACATGCAGGTTTTGACAGAACTCCAACTGGTACAAACAAAAGTCATTCTGCAACCATCACACCTGTTAAGTAGACTTGGCTCTGTATCACACTGCCTCCAATCCAAAATCCTGGCATAACCATTAAACCGACCCTAGGCTTTTGGTCAGCGTCTTCAATAACAAAATTTTCACTACACTATCCATATACACTTCAGAGAACTCACTCCCCTTCTTGACGCTGGAAAACCTTAACCATAGGGTCAAAGGAATTTGCTAATCTATGTAAAAGCCAGATAGACTTGGCTAGTTTCAAGAATGCCTGGTAGAAAGGTGTCCTTGGATGACACACACCCATCACATAGTTTCGCTGATCCAGGTTGCCAAAAAATGAAGCCTCCATCTTTGGATGAACCACCACCAGGTACTTGCTCCGACAAAACTTTCCAAAAGGGGAATCTGGGCTTTGCCCAACAGCATCCAGAGGATCCATATCACGTAAGGCAAGATATTGGTTGAAAAAACTTCCTTTATCCATGGTCACATTGTCAAGTTTCAGAGAAAAGCTTTCTTCCTGAAAACCACTGAACATTCGTTGGCAAATATGGGCTTCAAATGCATATTTTTTGTGAGCTCTCTTAGCATAAACAACATCAGGCTCTAAGGAATTTGCAGCTGCATCAAGATCCCACCCAGCAGCTTTCATCATGTTGATTAGCGGCTTAGAGAAATCATGAATGGCTTTATAAGCAGCTTCCACAGCTGACTTGATAAGGTCAGGGGTCAAATCCATAGAAAAGACACCATTTTCATCACCTGAGCCTTCTGATTCTTTGGCTGACAAGCCTCTCAGCTTGAGATTCTTTTCCAGTTTTACTCGCTTCTGATTTGCCTCCTGGATCTGCTGCTGCAATTGATTTATTTCAGAGTCCTTATTCTGAATTTCAGACTGAAATTCTTCACCATAACCTCATAAGTTTTCAATAGACTCTGCTGCTCCTGGATCTCTGCGGCCAAGCGAGAGTCCTGTGGAGAGACACAAACAGGTTTTGGATTATGCTCCCTGTAAAAGTGCTTGAGTTCAGAGAGATTCTTCAGCTCTGAAATCACAAGTTTATCAGCAGCTTGAATTTTATCGGGTCATAGGGAGTATGAGCAGTTTGAAGCTGAATGTAGGCCGACTTCAGGGAGGAAATGTTTGTAAAAATCCTAGAAATTAGTGCTTCCAATGCTTCAGGATTTTGATTTATGGCCTCTTCCATGGGTTGTGGATGGACCTTCTGGCTATTGTTATCACGAAGTTGGGTATCTTTACCACCTGTGGGTTGCATATCTATCTCCAACAGGAACTAAATTCAAGAACTCTTCACCTAAGAAAAAGTTGTAGCAGCAAAATCTGCCTGCAAAGAGAAAATCAATGATGACATCCAGTCATTAATACATAAAGCTAATGAAGAGGGAAAATATGCAGTCTCAGAAATACCTGATAAGAACAGGACACAGAAAAGACAACACTTTTTTAAACATTGATAAACAACAGAACTGTTCACGATGGTCAAGATCACAATTATTCCATTCTTTTCCTTTTCTGTTCCTTTTTTTAAGGCCAAAATGTCATCCTTCCTCTACTATAACAAAATTGTGATAACAAAATATATTCTTTTTAACACAGACTACTATTGCAGATGCTGTGCTAGACCATTCCTGAAAAATACTTTATTTCCCAATAAGAATAAGCAGACATTGGAGTGATTAAATGAGTCTCTCATGCAAAAGCACACCTATAAAGATCACGTACCTGCAGTTGGATCTGCTTTGAAAGCATAATAAACTTTCTCCTTGATAGAGAACTAAAAAATGAGCTTCTTTGCCAAATTCCACAGGTTGCAATACGTTTTCCTACAGTACAATGAAAACCACCAATCCAGCTTATCAGGCAAAAAAGAGATGAGAGGAAATATACTTTGATTCACTGCAAGCGTATGCATGAACATTGTTGGTCTCATGATCTGTGCCAAAACTGACAATTACATCAGTTACAAAATTGATGGTACCCACAGCCCTTAAATGGTTTTTTGTATGGAAGGGCTTCTGTTTCTTTTTCCCTTTTGGGGACAGGGGGAGGGGAACCATTTCAGACAACTGTCTTACAAAAAATTCAGATGCAAGATGCCACCAAGGAGTAAAAGCATGAAACCAACATAAAGTAAGTTCCCTTCTCTCGCAAAGGCAGACAAATTGCAAAACAATTT